ATTATTATTATTATTATTATTATTATTATTATTATTATTATATATATTATTATTATTATTATTATTATTCGTNTATTATTATTATTATTATTATTATTATTATTATTATTATTATTATTATTATTATTATTATTATTATTATTATTATTATTGTTATTATTATTACTATTATTATTATTATTGTTTTTCACTATTTTATTGAATTTAAACAGTGACTGATAGCAAAAAAGAAAAAGAGAGAAAAAATGGAAATAAAATTTTATTTCCATAAACAAATCGAAATATTTTTTTTTTAATTTCCTTTGATTTTATCATTTTTAGTATTAATATATTCATGAAAAAAATTGGCAAAAAAGCGAAAAAATTCCATCATTTATTGGAAAAAAAATAAAAATATTATTGAATAAATTTGATAAATGCTAAAATACACTTTTTATTTGCTATTTTTAAAATTTGCAAAGCCACTTTTATTTTTTTGTGTGATCAATTATTTAATTTACTAATCAATTCTCCATTTTGTGCTAATTAAAGTCATTGATAAAATATTAAAATTATTATTTTATTATAGTTTCGATAAGCAATTCTAATATTCTCATAAGTATATTTTCCATTTTCCGTCTTTTTTTCTTGCTATATTTTTGAAATAATTGTTCTATTTCGTCACAAAATAGATAATATGAATAAGTGGAATTGAAACTTTAATAAACTTATCACCGGATCAAGTTTCAACATTCATTATGTTTGCTATTTGCATGTATTACGTGCATCATCTTATCATTTTGCATTATCTTATCATTTTTCAATTAGCAATTTTTTATCCAATCCACTGCTGCAAAACATTTTTGTATTCTTCAACCCGTTTGAAGTTGATTTAAATTTAAATTTATGTTATAGGGAGAGGAAAAATTTGCACATATATATATATATATATTAATTAAAATTTTTTTTCCGGTTATCAAATTTAATTCTAGAATTTTAAACCAAAAATTTATGCGCATTTAAAGACAATATTAACAATAAATATTCAATATATAGCAGATTACAATTCAAATTCTTTTACGGTAAATTTTAAATTCAAATATTTCAGTTAAAATTTTAAAATTACCCATCATTTTGCTATTAAATTTCATTTTTCAAAAGAGAAAATATTTGCACAATCATTCATCATAACATTTAATAATTATGTGAATCATTTCCTCTTCATATTTTATTCACTGAATTTCAAATTTAATTGCAAAATTTTACCCATGCATATATACATATATATGTTCGACTAAATAATCAAATTCCATCTCTATCGCGGTATTATTACTAATTTTTTGAAATGTTTTGCAATTATAAATTGAAGAAATTGAAAAAATTGAAAGAAGAAATCGCAAAAAAATTTCAAAAAATAAATTGAAAGCTAGAAATTTTTAAATCAATTTGAAATGAAAATAAATATTCATTTCCATTATAAAAATTATTTTACATGTAATCCTTTTTTTCCTGTTTTTTTAAATGTCTTTTTTTTGAAGTTTCTTTTTTTATCCAGCAAATTATTCATTTTAAAATAATTGCTTTTTTCCTCAAACCAAACAGGGAAAAAGTTTAATTTTTTCAAAATTTAATTTTAAAATCATAAACCAATTGTTTATATATTACTTTTTTTCCTTTTAAATAAGCAACATTTATGCTAATTCAATTTCAATTTTCTTACTTTATTATTTTAAAGTTCCATTTTGCTAACCTCAATTTTATTTACTCAATTAGCTTTGCTTCTTGATGCATTTTTTTTTGAAAATTTGATTTTAAAATTATAAACCAAATGTTTACACATAAATAAAGACAAAACTGGAAATAAAAGTTCAACATTTAAGAATTATCCAAAGTTTAATTTTCTTTATTGTATATTTTAAACTCGAATATATTCATAATCAATCATTGCCAAAAATACTCTATCAAATTACATTTTAATTACTTTACTTTTATGTATTTTTTAAGTTTAAAATCTTAATTAATTCAATTTGTGAGTCATATCATAACTTTTTAATGGTGTACTTTTGCAATTTCATAACAAAAAAAATAAAAATAAAAATAAAAATAAACCATTTGAATGAAAATAAAAACTTTTCAATTAGTAGCATTTTCGAACACGAACAATTACTGTAGCTGTGGCATAAACTTTTTCGAAATTCTTTTCTATCCTAAAATTTTAAAATTTTGCTTTTCTATCAAATTTCTAACATTCCGGAATTTTTATAAAATTATCACTTATAATAGACTGTTGTCACAACACTGAAAAATTATTACTTATGATAAATTGGTGTCACATCATTTAAAAATTATCACTCATATTAGACTGATCTCATATCATTTAAAGATTATCACTTATGATAGACTGATTGCATAACATTTAGAAATTATTATTTATAATAGATCTGATCTGAGAATCTAACAATATTAGTTGTTGTGGAAGGCATTTGTAATTTCGCAAAAAGCGCATCTCATTTTTGGCGCTAATAATAATTACTTGTTTTTTTATTCCTTCTCTTACAATAATTATTTTATTTTTTTTCTTTCTCTTCAAGTATTTGCTGGACAATATTTGCTCATTATGATATTTTCATTCTAATACTTTTTTCATTTTTATTTTTATTTTTATGATATAAAAATAAGCTTTTTTTTTCTTAAAATTATTCAATTGAGAGAACAATTAATGAAAAGAAATGTTATAGTATTTATTATGGAAATGCTTAATTTTTTAAGTGATAATTCTAAATAATAATTTTAATTATTATAAATTCCAATTAGTAGTTTAACTCTTTAGCAATAAATAATAATTTCAATCATTTATTTTTACTCCTTTTCATGCAAACAATTACTTATTTTAACTTTTTTCATTCACCTAACTTTTTTAAGAAAATATTTCATTTAATATTATATTATTATCATTATTTAATATTGTGTTATTGTTACCGAATTTAAAATATTAAAAAAAAAAATTTATTTTCTTTCACTACTCTTTCCTTTACTTAATTACTAGATAATAATAGTAGTGCGGTTATTAGATTAATAGTCTAGTAGTGTTTGCAAATTAGTAATATGAACAATCAATGAAGTTATAAATTTTATTATTGATAAAAGATTAGGTAAGTGATAATGGCAACTGTTTGCATCATCAATACTTGGCATGTTCATTATTTTTTCAATACTTATAATATATATATATATATATATAT